TGGGTGGTGATGGCGAGATTGTGGTGGGCTCCAGCCGAGGCCGCGACAACGCGGTGGCCAGCAACGGTCTCGCCCTTCTTCGGCAGCAGCTGGGTCTGCTCGTCGCTGTGGCCCAGTTGCCTCGGGGTGGGGGGGGGGGAGGGGGGGGCGCCTTCTGCTGCGCCGCGTTTGCGTAGCACGTCTTTTTGAGCTGGTTGGGCCGCTTCTTGGTGAAGCCGATGCAAAAGAGGCGCATGACGTAGCCGTCCGAAGTCTTGACGTCAACGTGCGCCTCGATGAGGGACTGCCACTTCTTCACCATCGAGCTCCAGGGCGAGGGGGGCGGCGGCGGTGGGCCAAAGCGGGGGGGGGGGGAGAGGGGGGCAAGGGGGCGGGAGAGGGGCGGGAGAGGCGAGGGCGGCGGCGGCGGGGAGAGACGCGGAGGAGCCATGCGGCGGGACGGAGGGAGGAGCACAACGATGCGCCGTGGCAACAGTGGTGGACTGGGCGGGCTGGGTGGGCTGGGCAGCGGACCGGAGCTTGTCCGTGGTGAAGGTCAGGCCGTAGAACTGCGTGAGGCACGAGTGGCCCTGCACCTCCTCGCACTGCAGCTTGATTTTCCGGTAGTGCTGGTCCTCGTCCTTATTCAGGTCCGCGAGGCACACCTCGAACACGCGCCCCTTGAGCATCTCCGACGCAATCTTGGTGCCCGTGGTGCGGGTCACCGGCGTCTTGCCGCAGTTGCGCACGGAAAAGTTTCCGGGCGCCTTGATGTCATACCACTCCTTCTTGGTGAAGGGGTCGACGATCTTCTTGCCCTTGCCCTTCTTGCCCTTGGACAGCCGCTTGTTCTTGCCCACGGCCTGCGTACGCGGCGGACGGCACCGTCGGGCGGCGGCAGCGGCGCTTCCGCGCGAGCGAGTGCTGACGCGGGCCCCCGGCGCAGACACGCAGCGGCGCCGCGGACGGCGCCAGCCGGTCGGCTACCCTCCCCCTCCGCCCCCACCCCCCCTCTCCCTCAGGCGCAGTGCTGCCGCAGCTCTCTGAACGCGCTGGCTCACCATCTTGGAGAGGTCGGCACGCGGCTGGGCACCCCGATTTCTTTTTGTGATTGGGCGGTAAGAGGCGTGGGGGGGGAGGGTTAAAGGGGAACAAAAATATAACAAAAAAGCCTAAATTAATAACTAAAAGGTAGCAACTGCTATTCTCCGCGGCAAAAATTCTTTCGGCGGGCTAGCTGGGCCTGGACAGCGCAGGCCCTGGGGACAGTGCCCCCTCCTCGTGCCACGAATGCCCCGCTCACCCTCGTCCTCCTCGGTGTCCTCACTGAGCAAGACCGGCTCCGACTTTGACGGTAAGACCGACGGCCGCGCCAAGACCGACGGGCCCGCCAAGACCGACGCCTTTGGCCGCGCGCGCCGCGGGGGCGACCGGTCCCCCTCCGGCTCGCCCCCGCGCAGGCGGCGGGACGAGCGCGAGCGCAGCCGCAGCCGCGGGCGCCGTGGGCGCGTGCGGAGCCGCTCGCCCGAGCCGCGCCGGCGCGGCGGGTCGCCGCCGCGCGCGCGCGAGCGCGACGGCCACCGCGGCGGCGGCGGCGACCCGCGCGACGACGGCCCGCTCCCCGAGCTCGAGTCGGTGCACAGGGCGGAGGTGGTTCGGGTCGAGGCGTACGGCGCGTTCGTCGCGCTCTCGGGCTTCCGGCGGCAGGGGCTCGTCCACATCTCGCAGCTCGCGAGCTGGCGCGTCGAGTCGGTCGAGGAAGTGGCTCGCGTGGGGCAGCGCGTGTACGTGCTTGTCCTCTCGACGGACAACGGCCGGCTCTCGTGCTCGATGCGGAGGGTGGACCAGGAGAGCGGCGCGGCGAGGCCGGACGAGCCGCGCGGGCCCGGCGCCTCCTTTGCCGGCGGCGCCTACTCCGCCGCCGACCAGACGTACCCCGACCGGTCGGGCGCGCAGATGGGCCTCAACCCGCTCGACCGGCAGGCGGGCGACGAGGCGGCCGAGCCGCGGCGCGGGTACGGCGGCGGCTTCGACCCGGAGCGGGAGGCGCGCTTCGCCGAGGCGCGACAGCGGCGCGCGGTGCAGCGCCGCTCGCTGCCCCTCCCCTCCATTTGGCTGCCGTCGCGCTCTC